TTTTATTTTTTAGTTTATAAATACAATTCTCAATTCAACCGACCCATCGTGTGCATGCGTATCGAATTGTATGTAGTTTGCATAACTGCGTATGACATGTCGATTTTACCTAACTTTTGTAAAACTTATTATCAAATAATATATGTTCACTTACTTATAAATTTCTCAACATTAAAAAGATGTTCATTTATCCTGAAAAAATTTGGGGTACTCAATGACGCGCGCCAAGTACGATAAAAAATTTTTTTTTTAATTTTTTAATTTTCAACAAATTTTTTTTCAATTTTTTCAACATTATGACGGTTTCTTGGTATTTTTTTGTATTTCACAACTTTTTGTAGAGAATGAAAATTATTAAAACGAGCCTAATTTTTTTTGTAAAGTGCAAATGTTATTGAGATGAGTTTTATGAACGTGGACTTGGCGCAATTTTTTTACAGTGAAACTGTTTTTGTTCGGATTATGGATACTAGAGTACCGATATTACAAAGCGATTTCCAAAATACTGATGTCAATGCTGGACCGGGTCAATTTTAGCTTTATACACGTTTTTAAATTTAGATCAGAATTTCACTAGATATCGAAATATCACACTATATAGCATTTGAAGATAAATTTTTTTTCATTATTTTAAAAAAATTCTAAAATTAAAAAGGAATAAGGAAACAATACAACTTTTTTTCACATTACTGTCATTTTTTTTTTTTTTTATTAAAAAAATTGATGTCAAAAAATCTCAAAAATAGAAAACAAGACAAAATCATTTTTAGTAAAAACTAATATAAAAAGCTATTATGGTTTTACAACTTTCCTCGATAAGAAATATGCTTTATATTATTATGTTAAGAAAATTTTATTGAAAATAAATTTGAACTGTATTTTACTCATAAAAAAAATTTAATGCAAGGTATTAAGGTAGTTGTCATAGTACAATATTGTCAAAAAATTAGAGATTATAGGTGCCGCAAAAGTATATGAGCTTGTAGCTAATTGTAAGCGATCCATATTTTTTACGCAAGATTGTACCCGTGGAGACACAACCCATACAATTGTTTCTGTCCGACTCCGTAGATATATACTATTTCATAAATTGTTGAACTTTAATCCGTTATTTATAAATAATTAAACGGTCAATAATTTTTTTTTATTTTTTTTTAAGCTCACTACAAACTCACAACATTAAAAGACTATCAGTTTTTTTTAAAGTTTATGACAGTTAGTTTTTTTTTATAACTAAGAAACTGGTACAGAACTGCAGAGGGCGTAAGCAATCAATATTAAATATCCAATTTTTAATTGAACTAGTACTAGTATACGTTGCGCGCGCAAGCACGCGTGTGAATTTAGTATGGAATTATCTATATTTTCATACTTATGATATATTTGACCAATCACGTTACGAATAGTTTGTCTTATTGTGTATATTTTCATATTTTTCATCTAAATTATAAGAGTGGATTTATCTCGGGTTATAGGTTATAGTCAAGCGACTTCAAATTTTTAGGATAATTGTATTAACATGTCCTTAAAAGATATAGAAAAATTCAGAATTTTCTGACGCTTCGCCCTAACCACGCCCTAACAACTACCTTAAATATTTTCATTTTCTAAACACTTATAACGATTTATTTACTTGAATATTTACCAAAAGCTTAATTAACGAATTTGGAGTTTTTTTTTGGGTAATCGATAACAGAATAAAGTTAGTTTTAAAAAAAATATAAAAAAATTTTTAATAACAACTATAATAGATCATAAAAAATCAATTATTACTTCACAATGTCATTAGATAAGAAATATGTTTTTTAGTATTATTTTTAAAAATACATTCATATTTCTTTAGTTATAGTTTTTTGTTTTCAAGCTACTATTCTATATGTAACAATAAGTAACCGGATATTTTTTTTTAATTGTCATAAGAAATAAATGTTATTTTTATAAAATCGTTAAAAGTATTTTAATGATTCAGTCGACTGATCATCAACTTTCACGTAAATCAATTTTTAAAAAAAATTCTTTTACTCCAATATGTGTGAAATACAGAAAATTTATGTTATTTTAATCATTAAACTATTGACAAAAGGAACCCTCATGGAAGAATATCATGTAGGCGACACTCTTAATGTTTTTATTGAAAAAAATGATAAAATTGGAGATATATTTAATGGTTATAACGGGTCTAAGTATATAAAAACAGAAAATTTCGGTCACGATATCAAATACACAATGTCACATGAAATATGCTTGCGGTTTGAATCGTTAAAAAAATTTATCTACCCTGAAGTTCATATTGATGGAAGAATATCGACCAGTGTACCCTCAAAATTATATCAACACTTAGACGTTTTGAGAGATCAATATTTGGGAATTGAGGAATTTTACGTGAACAATAATGTTTTTACGTATGGAATCGTTAAATTATGTAAAGTGATAGAAACACAATCTGTAGATATTGAACTGATTACGAAGAAAGATTTTCCACAAATCTCAAAT